ATGAACTCCATCCATCTCCTCTGCCCATGTTCAACTCCTTCTGGTCGAACAGGTACTTTAAACTCTTGTGATCACTGAATACCACAAACCTCAAACCAAAAAGATAGTGCCTCCAAATCTTGAAAGCAAACACAATCGCGGCCAACTCCAAATCATGAGTCGGGTAGTTCTCCTCATGAGGCTTCAACTGCCTCGAAGCATAAGCAACAACTCTACCAGACTGCATCAGCACACAGCCCAGCCCCTTTTATAATAAGAGGATAATATAAAGGGTATGATTATACTTACTACCATTTTGAATTTGCTATTCTTATTATCTGACTGGTTATTGTTAGATCAATCTAAAATCAACAGTTGAAAAAATGAAATAAAAATAAATTATCATTGATTTTAAATTAATTATACATTAACCAATCAGATAATAAGAGTGGTAAGCTAACCTTCCCCTAATATAAATCAAGACAAGATTTTCAAGTAGCTGCATTGGAAACTATAACCATAACCTTTGACAACCAGACTTCTTCTATTGTATTGAAAGATAGTTGCTTCAAAATTATCTTTAAAAAGTTCAAAAGACGAGGGACCCTTGTACTTCTATTTGTTATCTGATAGATTAGTTTTGGGATATCTAAAAAGTTTTCTTATTCGCGATATATATATATATATATATATATATATATATATATATATATGAGGTAGGACCATTTGACACCGATGTCAAATTTGAAGTTTGACACCTTATCTGAGAGCCATTAGATAAAAAAATATCAATGGGGTCACATGCTTACAAACCAGAGTCGATGATCTTATTTGATCTAACGGCTCTCAGATGATGTGTCAAATTTGAAATTTGACACTAGTCTCAAAGGATTATATATATATATATATATATATATATATATATATATATATATATATATAGGTTATTCTACCTACTTTTTTTCGGCCTACCTTTGCCTACCACTCTAAAAAATCATTAGGTCAAAATCTTAATTAACATTTATCTTTCTCTCTCCTCTTTGGATTCTGATCTAAGGTATTGGAGAGTGGTAGGCAGAAAAAAAGGTAGGTAGAATAACTTATCCATATACATACATAGATATATATATATATATATATATATATATATATATATATAAGGGTTTTGTAATTTTCATTCAACATGAGAATTGAAATCTTCCTACACACCCTTCAATTTTCGTTCTGAAGTGGGTTCTACACATAATTTTTTCTAACATATGAGTCACACATGTTTTTTTGTCTCTATAACATAAGATTTCAATTCTCATATAACTTGAGAATTATAAAACCCTACATATATATATATATATATATACAGTGGCAGACCCAGGAGAAATTGTTTATGTCCGCACATTTAGTGATGAGGGTTCGGGGGTGTCGCCTCCGATTTTTTTTTTGTAAAGACAGTTTAAATTAACGCACAAGATTATGAACTCGCTCATAATTTAGTTGCTTCCATAACAAGCTGCAGGCAATAGTTTGACCAATCATTATTCCTTCTAAATCTTACCAATCCTCCAAAATAAATATGAGAATATACTCTAGTACATCTATACATCATCATTCTATTTTATAGTGGTGAATAAAAAAGTCAACACTACGGTACAGAAGACAAGCGAAATCATAGTGAAGGTCTCGTCTTTAGAGATTAACTTATTTGAAAATGTCAGACGTGCAATCAATCCTCTCTTTTTATAAAAATGAAAAAGAAAATAAAGGATGAAGAGAGCATGAGAATGGGTACATTACAGGAGAGGAAGAATAAGTTTTCTCTCTAATCAATTTGCATTGCTATGTTGTTTTAATCATCTCTGTACGTTGCTACGTTGCTAACTAATATAAGAGTAAATACTTTTTTTGGTCACTAACAAAAATTCAGTCCTCACTTTAGTCCCTTACAAAAAAAATTAGTAACCTGGTTCTTATGAAATTCAAAGTGAACACATTTTAGTCCTTTTGAGTGACTAATGTGGGTCTTTTTTGAATTTATGAGGGACCACGATTTTAACTAAATTGATCCACTTTGAATTTCTTAGGAACCTCGAGATTAATTTTTTTATAAGAAAATAAAGTGGAGATCGTATTTTTTATTAAGGACTTAAAAAGATATTTACACCTAATATAAATATTGAACCAAGTAATAAATAAAAACCTGCAAAAAAAAAAAAAAAAAAAAAACAAGAAAAGTCACAATATTTATGTCCGCAAGTGCAGACATTTGCTACCGACTGCGTCTGCCACTGTCTATATATATGGGATAAGTTAAAGGGGGCGAACCGGAGTAGGGGTGTTCATCAACTGATCCAAACCGATTCAAACCGCGGTGACCGAATCGAAAATCGAAAAATCAAAAATCGAAAAATAATCGCAAAATTTAATTGAATTGGATCGGTTTTTAGATGGGTGGGTGAAAACAGATCCAATCCAAACCGATCCAATGATTCCCCAACCTTACCATCTACCTACTTGGGTCTTTCCCCCTTTAATAGCCCAAAAATCATATAGATTCTTTTCTCAATTCAATACCCATTAACCCATCATGTTGGAGAAAGTGAGTTGTGTTTGATCTATGTTATGCTTATTTTTGTAAGATACATAATATATTTTTATTACATATGTTATTGTTGTACAACAGCTCCTCTATAGGATCAAAATTTGGGTAACTTCGTATCTCATGCAATCATATTATAAATTTTTTGTTGGAAGTAAAAGATGATAATTTAACTTTTTGTTGTATAATACTTCTAGATTGCACAATAATAATCATACAAACGTTACAAAGCCGATACATACAAAAGATATGTTATTTGCACAATAATCATTATACAAATCTTAGGCTTTTCAAAAAACCGAAAACCGATCCAATCCAAACTGAATAAAATTGGATTGGATCGGATCGGATTTGAAAAAAAATTTAAACCGAATGGATGATTACATGGTTAAACCGAAGGGATTTGATCAGATAATTTTTATTTCCAAAACCGATCCAATCCAGACCGCGAACACCCCTAAACCGAAGCAGTGGTAAAACTACTGTTCCTTCATGACTGAAAAGGTCATGGGTTCGAATCCAGAAAACAACATCTTTACAATTATGCAAAGGTAAGGTTGCGTACAAGAATTTCCTTCACCTCACACTCGCTAGTCAGGTTTAACAGGGAGTGGGTTTTTTTTTAATATATAGGATAAGTTATTCTACCTACTATTTTTTCTGCCTATCTTGACCTACTACTCTAAAACATCATTAGATCAGAATCTTAACTAACATTTATCTTTCTCTCTTCTTGAGATTCTGATCAAACGATGTTGGAGGGTGGTAGACAAAGGTAGGTAGAATAATATATATATATAAAGGATCCATTTGCAATTTTTTTTTACAAATTACACTAAATACGACCTGTCATACAATCTTGATTGAAGTATGACCGTGTAGTTTATAAACAAAAAAATTGTAAATATAACATTTCCTATATATATATATATATATATATATATATATATATATATATATATATATATATATATAAGAGAACTCTTAGGTGTAAGCACACTGCATAATTACCCCTATTCCTTTCCAACCATATCAATTTTTATTTTGTAAGAGATAATTTATTTCTTACACATACTTCAAAATGTGTGGAGTCCATATAAAACCATATCAAGAGAAGAAAGAGAAAAAAATAAATATAAATCTCACATATTTATATATATATATATATAAAATAATTTTATCTTTCATAAACACATTATTCTTATAAACTATAACGCGGTTAGAGACTACTTTATTATTAAATTTTCTCATATGATAGATTGAACCTCCTACGAGTTGCATAACTTATCCTACAGCAAGAACCCTGGCCTGTACAACCCTTCGGATTTTAGGGGCACAAATCTATTGAAATTTATAAAATGTTTCATTTTTTAGTTTTAAAAAAATAGAAGTTACACAAGCGCACGCATGTATATAAACAATTAATATATTAAAATATTTAAATTCTATAAAATATTACGCCTATTTTTTTTTTAATATTTCCTCTATCTACTTGTATCTATTATATATAAACAATTAATATTAAAATATTTAAACACTATAAGATACTATGCCTATTTTTTTTTTAATATCTATTCTATCTACTTGTATTTATACCATTAAATTATAATCTTAATTGACAGTAAAAAAGAAAAAGAAAAAAGATGAAAGTCGATTAAAATTATTGTCTAAAAATATGTATAAAAGTAAGTAGAGTAAGAATGAAAAAAAAAATAGCTTACCCCCTATAATAATTCTTTTTAACAAATATCGAATAACTTATGATACACATTTTTCCAAGGTGTCCGTGTACCTATACGGGAAGTCGGGAACTAATTTTTTTTTTTTAAAAAAAAAAAAAAAAACTAACGTACTCATTGTACACGAAATTAATGGAAAGGTTCCAATATGGGAAAAATAAAAAAAGCAAAATGCTCAATGAAGAAAATGAGAAAAAAGGTGCGTTACCAAACAAGCTGCTACCTTTGATCATCCAGAAAAGAATATTATTTTACTGTGCCTTTCGCCCTTTCATTAGTACTGCCAATTTAATTTGTTAGAGATCTCCAGATTTTCAAGCTACCTCAACAAAGCTTTCATTGCTTTAGCATTTACTACTTTGTTTTGAGTCTGAGTCCTTGTCCTTTGTAGTTGCAGTTGTTGTAAGAAACAACAACTTATACGAATATTATTATTATTATTATTATTATTATTATTATTATTATTCCATATCTAACTAACGATTCTAATTATTATTATTGATTCATCCTGTCCCTCAAAATCACAACGAAAGGAAAGAAAGAAAAACACAGAGAAATATGCATGCTTCTCTAATTAACATGATCAAGGGTATATAATGAAGCAGGATACTTTAAAAAAAAAAAGGAAAAATAAACAATATTAATTAATATACATAAAATTTATCATAATAAAATAAACAATTCTACATTTACTGCAAGTTACATGTATTTATTTTCAAAATGACATCGTTATCATTTCGAAATTGAAAGATTAAAAATTTATAATTATAAAGACTATAATAATTCTAAAATAAATTAAAATTATAAAAATATGATTTTCGTTCCAAAACAATATCGTATTAGACTTTAAAAAGGAAAAAACGAACCCTAGAATAAAATAAAAAACTATGGTTTGGATTGGAAGTTGGAAATTGGAAAAGAGTGATGATGACTAATGGTAAGAACGAAGGACAGCACCACAAAAAGTGCAGGCGATGGCTCTCCAAGATTTCCAGTAAAAGGGAACATAGCAAAATCTGGTGGCGGTCTTCATATCCACCACGCTTGCTCCGCCGCCGCACTTAGAGCAAAACCCCGCCGCCGGCTTGCTCCGCCGTACTTGGCGCGTTTGGTCCACCAGGAAACAGAAGCATACCATGGTGCTGTCGTTAAGGAATAACGTTAAGGAATATTGGAATATGTTCTAATTTATAGCAAGTACATTTAACAGTTATTTAACATTCGATCATCTTTCAAACAGTTCTTACAACTGCAACCGTTGGATTGTCGATATAGTTAGAAGTGGGCCCCGGATAGTTGCTCGAAGTTTAGTGAGTGTGTGTGTGTGTGTGTGTTTGTTCCATGTGTACCACGTAGTTGGATAAAAAAACTATGGTGGTGTGAGTGCACGTGAAATCTGGTGCGTTCACGTTGCACAAATGGAAGGGTTGTAATAAATAGGGCCATGCTTGGTCGTGTTAAATATAGGTGGCAGTTGGAAGGTCCTGGTTGATTTTTAGGCGTTTCATGTTCCATTGTCGGCTGTAAAATGCACTTCAAAATATAATTTTGTTAAGAAAAATAAACACACTACTAGAAAAGTATTTACTATGACGGAATTTTTCGATAAAAAAAATTCCATTAAAATTATTGACGAAATTTTTCACAAAATTTGTTTTTCGTCAAAAATTTCGACAGAAAACGGTTTCCGTAAAAATGTTCGACAGAATTTTGAATTCCGTCAAAGATTTTCGACAGAAAAAGAATTCCGTCAAAAACTTTTGAAAAAAATAAAAATAAATTCTATTCTTTGAATGTTTTGACGGAATTTTGATTCCGTCGAATTTCTGTCGAAAACTTTTGAAAAAATAAAAGAAAAAAGAAATTATATTCTTTGGAATTTTTGACGGAATTCTGATTCCGTCGAAGATCTTCGACAGAAAAAAAAATTCGTCGAAAATTTTTGAAAAAAATAAAAGAAAAAGAAATTATATTCTTTGGAATTTTTGACGGAATTATGATTCTGTCGAAGATCTTCGACGAAAAAGGAATTCCTTCGAAAAGTTTTCATATTTTAATAAAACTAAAGAATAATTCTCCCAACTAAGCTGTTGTTGATTTTGGCTTTTTCATATTTTACCGTTTTACAGTGATCGAAAGGATATAAGTTATCCTTTGAGTCATTTTAAAAGGAGTTTTTGAATTTAGGTTAAAATATATTTTTCACTTGATATTTAATTTAATTTAATTATTATATGTAAAATTATTTTTAGTTTAGTATTCATGTTGTTATTATAATACTTTCTGTTGTAATTATAACATAATAAATTGTAAAAGCTAATTAATTTAACATAATTGTCACGTATAAGTATTGAAAATATTATATTTTAATTCTCTAATGTGAGAATCATTTTCAATTTAGTTACTATAGTTTTTTCGTAACTTAATTTTCATCTTATAATATTATAAGGATAACATACAAAGGAGATGACATTAAAAATAGATCTATATATGTGGATTAAACCAAAACTACTTATATAAAAATTAAGTCAAAAATAAATATATTAAAATTATAGTAACAAATAATAAATCTATATATGTTGATTAAACAAAAACTGCTTATATAAAGATTAAATAAAAAATAAATATTTACTATATATATATATATATATATATATATATATATATATATATATATATATCAAAATTATATTAACAAGTCCACTTATTATTTAACTCACCTGTATCCACATTTATTTAAACTCATATATATCGACATTTAGTTATTAGTAAAATAAAAAAAAAACTTTAATCGTAATACCTTCACCGCCTTGTTTTGTTTTTCTTCTTTGCTAAGGTTTTAATCAATGCTGTAGTATTAGTATCACATCTCAAACATAAAGTCTTTTCTTTCTCACGAAGATAAGTCTTTTTCGAAGACTGGATCAAAATTAGTATATCATATATTAAAAATATCATAACAAAAAAATTATAACGTATGTGTGAACGCATATGCGTTATTCTTTTAAAGATAGGAAGAAAGATAAAACTATAAAAAGAGGATAAAATTCGTATGAATTAAAATTCAAGTTCACATCTGATTATCAAGCCAACACTCACTTAAATTGATGAATCATTTTGTTAATACAAGTATAAATGAAATTCTACCTAAACAAGTCATTTATGGAGGTAGAAATATTCGAAATCCAACCAATTGAACGTTTAAAATATAGAATTGAAAATTTAAAAACCAAAAAATTTAATTGAATTCAATCAAATTTTCATATCTAAATTTAAAAGTCAATTCAATTCAAACTTAACAGAAATTACATATTTAAAATAATATTTTATCTAACAAATTCTCACGTTATTTATATTTATTTTCCTTTTATGACAAACTTAATTATTTATTTTTCTTAACTTTAGACATATTATAAGATAAATAATTAATTTAAACAATATTTGTTGTATTTTAATGAGATTAATGTTTCTCATGTTAGAAGACATTATTTTATCTCCTACACATACATAAAAATATATAAAACTCATGTAGAGCCATGTGAAGAGCAGAGAGAGAAAAAAAAAATGAACCCTACACACTTTTATGTGTGTATAAGAGATAAAACTATCTCTAACATCAATCCCTTTAATGAATTAGACTTTATATTTAGATAAATTTAATGAATTTATGTTATAAATTCTCATAAAAACTTAAAAAATAATCTAACCCAAATCGAGGTAAATCGAATCTTATATTTTCAACCAAATCCTGTTAGATTGGGTCAATGAAATTTTTTCTTTCTTTTCCAATCCAGTAAGACTCCTCGGTCGAGGAAGCCATCCTTAAACAACGTTGTCTATATATATATATATATATGTGCACAACTGAGACTTATAGTAATTATCTGGTTTGAGTTAACCCTAGCCCAAAACCAAGGAAAACACATCCAACTCCCAAGTATTAAGCAAGGCGCAAAAGGTGTGTGTAAGGAACTGGTAACTTAGGAAACCAGTTTTTGGGGTATAACCATCGGAAAAGCATTTGCAAGTACCACATCATAGAGCTGCCATCATCGTCCCTCTTGCAGCCTCGCGCTTCATCTCTGCGGCCTTGCCACTGCCGCGAAAGTACATTAATACTTGCTGTGAATATAAAATCAACAGTTAAAAAATCAAGCACAACTAGGACCAAGAAAATACCAAGTTACTGTTACAGGGTTAAGATTATAAAAACCTGAATAACCCAGATGCTCAGCAGTGACTCAAGACAGAATAACCCAAACCCAATAAAGTAGAATATCTGCAATTCAGCACTAAGTATTAACATTATTTCATCGTGAAATCATGACTTGAAAATATACTCATCCGGAACAGAGTCATAATATCCAACTATTGATTATCCAAGAAGCTAGTGGCATTATAGCAGCCAAAAAATACACAATTGGAACATACCGCAACAAATCCATTGTCGTTCAACACATCGATCGCAGCCAGAATACCTCTGTCCGCATCATAACAACATACAATACAACCATTAATTTGAGCAGAAGTGGAATAACGAAAAGAACAAATTTATTTTTCATATAACTGATCTTCAACAAAATCATGGATTACATACCACCAACCCTAACATAATACAAAAAATTGATGATTATGGCATAGTCATTATGTTCATTAGATACAAAATTATGCGGGGTAAATTGCCACCAATTTATGCCCCTTCAGTTAAATAGTTATGGATAAAACCCAGACGAGAAATCAATAAGCTCGGTAATAAAATGCTTCAGCCATCCCCAGTGTTTTCCTTGCCTCCAGAAGATCAAATCAGTAAAAGAGTAGTTATAGAAGAATTTGAGTTTGCAAAATACATACTAGGAATGCAAGATTAGAAGTATACTCACGTGAGAGATTTTCCTTTGAAGATAATTGGTGGAGCAACTGCAGCGAAAATGCAAAAGACAATGTGCAACTGCTTGGAGAAAATTGGAAAAAAGAGATGAGCGGTTACCCAAAATTAGTGCAGAATAGTGACTACAGCGAGAAAATATATAAAACTTGCCGCGTAAAACAAGAAAAACCAGCTAAACTTCAGAGCACTGTCTGTTCTGTAACAGGAGATGACACGCGATTATAAAACAGAAACAACATCAATATATAACAACAAAATTAATAATAAAACAATGAAGAATCCAGATAGCAGAGTGGATCCTGCTCACAGTATAAATGTTCCTACAAAAGCAGTTACATGTCAATGCTTTTTTAATGCAGTTTGGAAGAAGGTTAAGCATCAACAGACTCCTGCCTCCCAATCACTCTCCTTTCCCCTGTTCTTCTGATACCCCTTCAAAAAGTGAAGGTTAAGGACAAGGTATTTCAGAAGGTAAACTTTGCACCCACAGAGCTTTTCAGTTTTCGCAATGACAGTATTGCCTTCCAAAGGTTATCATTCTTCCCACATATTACCCAGGTGTACATACCACTCTTAACAGTAAAATATTCGGGGCTTCATAATTGAGATAAAGCATATCTGGAGGACATAGATCAACCTGTTTTAATATTTTTTAAGATCTTACCAAATAAACTTAAAAACTACAAAAATTGCATTAAGTCAGATTGAATACTACCTCATAGCACGATAAAGAGGGCGATACCACAGCACATAGGATCCTGGAGCACCAGAAATAAAGTATATAATAGCAAGAAACCAGATTGTTGGACCTGCAAGGTAAGACAAGCATAGTTATCAAATGCGGATTGCGGCATGTCGCGGCCAACCCCGAAAAACGCTATAGCATTATAGCGGGTTGCGTTTGCAGAAATAGCAGAATAGATATATGACAGTAATAATGACAAAAAGAAACATTTTTTAAAGGCATAGGTAGCAGAAGTGACAGAAAGAAATGCGGATAGACTAAAAAACTCTTAAATTTTTTCCGTTACACATTTAAATTTAGGACAAAACTGACATTTTGCCTTATGACAGTATTATGGCTGCAAATGCGATTGCAATGACCGCTATTGCGTTCCAGTGTGGCGCGGCGCGGTTTCTTGCGGCGAGGCACCGCAACGCCCATACAACGCGGCTCGCGGCGCTATTGCGGCACAATTAACTACTATGAAGACAAGTCTGTAAATTAAACAGGACCTAACAAGTCTGTAAATTAAACAGGCCAATATCCAGTTGTAAGACAAACCTTCTCCTTTGATCCAAGCAATGGTAACTGCCAGAATATTCCACACAAGACACAAAATCATACCTGCAGAATATTACAAAGTTGAAAAATTAAGACACATACAGTTATTAAAGTAAGATAAATGATGATTTAAAAAATATTTTTACCGTTGAAATTATACAGATTTAGATAGAGGAGGAGGATAAGAGAGAATAAACAAATAAAATATTTTTACTGTTGAAATTATACAGATTTAGATAGAGGAGGAGGATAAGAGAGAATAAACGAATAAATGATCTAAAATTAATATTAATTTGATGTGATACAAAATACAAGATACTAATTCCTATTTATACTAAATACTAGACTTTTAATCATAATTAAATAAGGAAACAAATAATGAAATATGAAATATTTTGAGATATTTTCTAGATATTTTAACATATGCAATAAATTTCTAGTGAAATGGGGGAGGGGGAGAATTTTCGTAGGTTGAGAAGACATCAACCTTATCTTGTACTTCAGTTAGAAGTTATTACAACATTATCTATGGGCTTCAAAATCTTTTTTTTATGATTCATTGGATCAATAAATGAGAACAAACAAAATTTTTACACACACAAGACAAGGATGCATTTAGCAGACAAAATATCTAATAAGGTTAAACTCTTTTCAGCATAAAATATGTTAGAATTTCAACCATACTTACAGATCTCTTGAAACTGCCATCACTGAGACAAACAAGGGTTGCTTCACAATTTCAATAATTTGGTAAAGAAAAAATTATGTTATTTTATTTAAAAACTGATGCAATTGGTTGCATTAGCAATGCTTATTTTACATTGAAGTAAATTAATATAGTTTATGGAACATGAATCTTATAAACGAAAACATTATCAAGGTTGAAAATAGTTTGGTTTACTTTCACTTAATAAAATATGGAACTTAACTTAAATATTACTTTTAATGCTGGATTTTGTATCAGGAAAACAAAGGAAGCAATGTTTCTATTAGTAAAAAAAAGGAATGTTTTTAAATACTTAAATTTGGGCAATACAATCAACTATCATATTACTATAAAAACATATCGCAACTAATTGTTAACATTATCTGGAAATATGGAGCGAAAGACTGGAGAGTACTTTTTACATGAAGTAAAATATGTATTTCATCCATAGTTTTGTTGCTAATCTATGAAAATGCCTTTGTATCCATCCATCTTGTCAATTATACTAAAAGCTTCCATACCAGTCAGTAACTCACGTAAGAAGTTCAGACAATAATTCATAAGAAAGTGTAGAATATTCTAGATTATCATTTATTACTTCCTTGCTATTTGTTCCCTTATTTTTTAATGTCTCTTGTTATTGTAAATAAGCCTCTTAGTTTACTGTTGCTATTTATTAGCATTGTTCTTTGAACTCAATATAAATAGGACTTATTGGGTCTCTCAATGTAATCAATCAATAGTGTTATACAGAAAAACACTCTTTCTTTTTCATCATGGTATCAGAGCTGGTTAAAATTCAGTCTCTTCCCTGTTCTAACTTCCCTTCCATTCTTTTTTTTTTTTTTTTCGTTTTTTGCCTCTGTCAAGGCCAGAACCCTCACCTAGACACCTCCAACCACAAAACCAAGGCCACCATTAGGTCCAGAACAAAATTCCGAGCCAGCCAACAAAAGACCCGTCGCCGGAAACCCAGCCACGCGCCACCAACATCCTTCAGCTTCGCCGGCGCGTGTGGTCCACGCGCCGCCCTCCCATCATTTTTTTCCGGCGGGTCATACCCAGTTCTGATCGTCTGCCTCAAAATCATATTTGGAGGAATTTTGTTTTCTGGGTATTGTTGTTAGGAAGCCATGGACACTGAAAATGTTGAAAATTCATCTGGAGTTTCGACCGGAACCTCACCCCTTCCCATTTCTTCGTCTTCTGGAGACAACCCAGCAATGCAGATCACCAATCACCGTTTAAACGGTAGAAACTATGTGCAATGGTGTCAATCTGTTAAGTTGTTTATCCAGGCCAAAGGGAAGATGGGGTATCTGGATGGAAAAAAGGTTCAACCAGCAGAACATGAACCTGGCTATGATGCTTGGGTGACTGAAAATGCTTTGGTCATGACATGGCTGACTAATTCTATGGAATCGGATATCAGTCAAACTTATTTATTCCTTGATACGGCTCAAGAAATTTGGGAAGCTGTTAAAGAATACTACTCTGACCTGGGCAATGCCTCTCAGGCTTTTGAACTCAACACCAAGGTGAAAGATTTACGCTAAGGAGGGATGACTGTTACTGAATACTTCCTTGCTCTAAAAACATTGTGGCAAGAGTTGGATCTTTATGATAAAGCAGACCTTCAAGGTTTAGACGCTAATGCAATATTCAAAAATTATATAGAGAAAAGGCGTCTCTATGATTTTCTTGCTGGCCTTAATTCTGATCTGGATGATGTTCGTGGAAGAATTTTGGGGCAAAACCCATTACCTTCCATTGCCACTGCCTTTTCTGAGGTACGAAGGGAGGAGCTTCGCCGAAAGGTAATGTTGGGTGATAAGGACTCTAAGTCCTCTGATGGGTCAGCCTTTATAACAAAGAATACTGCTCGTCCTTCTGGGGACTCAAAACGTTCTGACCGTTGGTGTTCTCATTGCAATAAGGGTGGTCACACCCGTGAAAAATGTTGGGAAATTCATGGCAAACCACCAAACTGGAAACCAAAAGGACAGAACAAGAATCGTGCTAATCAAGTATCTTCCGAAGATAAGGGGGAGGGGTCTCATGTCCCTTCAAACCCCGATGGTGTTCTCCTCTCTAAGGCCCAGTATGAGCAATTTCAGAAATTGATGTCTCAACCTGCTGAGGCAACTAGTCATGTTGCTCAAAAAGGTATGGCATTCCATGTTGAACGTAGTAAATAAGAACAGCTGATGGAAATTTCTCCACTATTGCGGGCAAGGGATCCATTAAACTTTCTGAACATATTATTTTGAACTTAGTCCTTCATGTTCCCTCCCTTACTTGTAACCTCATCTCTATTAGCAAATTTACTGCTGAGTTGCATTGTGTTGCTAAGTTTTCTGCAAATGCTTGTATCTTTCAGGAGCAGGACTCGGGGATGATGATTGGCAGTGCTAGAGAGGAAGAAAGGCTATACTATTTGGAGGAGGATCTTTGTGAAAGGAGGATTTTTTCAAACCACTCTCTATGTTTATCAGATGATTGTAATGATGTTTTGTTATGGCATCGTAGGTTAGGGCACCCAAATTTTGTTTATCTTCAGAAGTTATTCCCTAACTTATTTATCAATAAAAAGCCAAGTTCCTTTCTTTGTGATATTTGTCAGCTTGCAAAACATTCTCGTGTCACTTATTCTCCTAAGAAATATCATGAATCTTCTCCCTTTACATTGATTCATAGTGATATTTGGGGACCTGCTCGTGAAAAAAATGTCTCGGGTGCTTGTTGGTTTATTACTTTCATTGATGATCATTCTAGGGTATGTTGGGTATATCTCTTAAAAGACAAGTCTGATGCGGCATCCACTTTTAAAAATTTTCATGCTATGATTCAAACTCAATTCCAGACTCCTATCAAAATTCTGCGAACAGACAATGCCACTGAATATTTTAATTCTGTTCTTGGAGATTACCTAAACCAGCATGGAATTATTCATCAAAGTTTTTGTCCTAACACCCCTCAACAAAATGGGGTGGCTGAAAGGAAAAATAGACGTCTAATTGAAGTTGCTCGAGCTCTCTTATTCACGATGCATGTCCCTAAATATCTGTGGGGGGAAGCCATCTTGACAGCTTCTTATCTCATTAATCGAATGCCTTCTCGGGTACTAAATTTTCATTCTCCTTTATCTTGTCTTACTAAATCTTTTTCTTCTTTCTGTGCTCTTTCTCTTCCTCCAAAAATATTTGGCTGCGTGGTCTTTGTACATATTCCTCCACATCAAAGGTCCAAACTTGACCCTAAATCTATTAAATGTGTCTTCATAGGATATTCTCCTAATCAAAAAGGCTATAAGTGTTACTCACCTTCTCTCCGTAAGGTCTTTGTTTCCATGGATGTTACCTTTTATGAGACACAATCCTTTTTTTCCCCGACTTCTCTTCAGGGGGAGTCTACTGGTATGGATGAAGATAAGCCTGGGAAACCAAATGAAGCTGTTGTCTTACCTTGGCCTTTGGAAACAGGGGGAGTTATTGGGAAGGAAACAGGGGGAGCAATTATACCTGAGTCTAATGATCTTCCCAGTCCTTGTGATCCTCCTGGTAAATGGGAAAAATTCTACAGCAGGCGCAAAACACATCAAGAGACTCTAGACTGCCAGGATCCTGACTCGAGTCCTTGCTCTAGCAACCCACTTGAATGCACTAGCACAGCCAACATTGATATGCCCATCGCCCTTTGAAAAGGTACTAGATCTTGCACTGCTCATCCTATTTCCCATTATATCTCATATGAGAAGTTATCTCCAGGTTTTCGTGCTTTCAACACTATGTTAGATAGTACCAGGATACCCAAAAATATCCAAGAAGCACTTGATGACCCAAAATGGAGGAACGCCGTATTAGAAGAAATGGATGCACTTATAAAAAATGGAACATGGGAGTTTGTGACATTACCTAAAGGAAAGAAAACTGTTGGTTGCAAGTGGGTGTTCACAATAAAATTTAATGCAGATAACAGCATCAACAGGTATAAGGCCAGATTAGTTGCTAAGGGATTTACTCAGACTCATGGGATTGATTATCAGGAGACATTTGCTCCTGTTGCCAAGCTTAACACTATCCGCATTCTGCTATCTCTTGCCGCCAACCTTGATTGGCCATTGCAACAGTTAGATGTCAAGAATCCTTCTTGAATGGTGATCTACATGAGGAAGTTTACATGGATCCACCTCCTGGTTTTGAAAAAGGGGATGGTTCAGTTGCAGAAGTCTCTCTATGGACTTAAACAATCTCCCAGAGAATGGTTTGGGAAATTTACTCAAGCTGTTAAGGGAAGAGGGTTCACCCAAGCTCAGACTGATCACACTTTATTCTTTAAACACTCTGACAAAGGTAGAATTGCTATCCTCATTGTTTATGTTGATGACATAATTGTCATTGGTAATGATACCGAGGAGATAGCCTCTTTAAAAAAATGTTTAGCTGATCAGTTTGAACTAAAAGATCTTGGATCTCTCAAATACTTCCTTGGCATGGAAGTTGCTCGAAGTAAGGAAGGAATTTCCTTAACTCAGAAAAAATACATTCTAAACCTGTTGCAAGAAACAGGTATGCTTGGGTGCAAGCCAGCAGAGACTCCAATTGAAGCTAATATCAAGATGGGAGTTGAGGACGGGGAAGATGTTGATAAGGAGCAGTACCAGAGACTAGTGGGGAAATTAATCTATTTGTCTCACACTCGTCCTGATATTGCTTTTGCTGTGAGCATGGTTAGCCAATTCATGCATTCTCCTAAGGAAAAACACCTTAGTGCTGTTTATAGAATTCTCAAGTACCTCAAAAACACCCCTGGTCGAGGAATTCTCTTTAAAAAGGGGAACAAAAGGATGATTGAAGTTTATACAGATGCAGATTGGGCTGGCTCTGCAATGGACCGAAGATCTACTTCAGGATATTGTACTTATGTCTGGGGAAACCTTGTGACCTGGAGAAGTAAGAAACAAACTGTTGTTGCAAGAAGCAGTGCAGAAGCGGAATTTCGGGCTTTAGCCCATGGTATTTGTGAAGGAATTTGGTTAAGAAGGCTTCTGGAAGAGTTGAAGATCTCTTATTCCCTACCTATCAGATTATATTGTGATAATAAAGCTGATATCAGCATTGCTCAAAATCCTGTCCATCATGACAGAACAAAACATGTGGAAGTCGATCGTCACTTTATCAAAGAAAAATTAGAAGACGGTAGTGTATGCTTGTCATATATACCTACCAAGGAACAAACGGCAGATATTCTCACCAAAGGTTTACTTAAGCCAACCTTTGAGGATTTGATCAGCAAGTTGGGAATGATCAATATATATCTCCCAACTTGAGGGGGAGTGTAGAATATTCTAGATTATCATTTATTACTTCCTTGCTATTTGTTCCCTTATTTTTTAATGTCTCTTGTTATTGTAAATAAGCCTCTTAGTTTACTGTTGCTATTCATTAGCATTGTTCTTTGTACTCAATATAAATAGGACCTATTGGGTCTCTCAATGTAATCAATCAATAGTGTTATACAGAAAAACACTCTTTCTTTTTCATCAGAAAGACACATCTAGATTTTATTAATACTAACTATCAGCAAGCAAGTAGCTATTTATGACTTAAACACATTCTAGAAGACAGTTCTGGAGTTCAACATACCCAACCATGTTGTAAATGCAACATACTGCATCCTTTGAAGATGTATTGGTATTTCATTTGCAATGTCATGATGAATGATGGGGAGAAAAGGTGGCCAATTTTTGTCCTCTACAACTATTCCAGCTGAAAAAAAAAAGTAAACACCAAATTATAGACATTGTTCTTGTTGGGTTCTATAAGAATAGAAATAGACAAACTCAAATACCTCGTGCTATAGCATCTTCCCTTCTTTTTAGTTCCTACAGAAGATAATGAGATCATCAATTTCCTGACTAAACCAAATGATATTATAGTGCAGTGGCCAAGTTAATTCATAGCAAGGTTAACGTAAACAGACATGGCATTAAGAATCTGAAATGACAGTTAATGTACTAAACTAAATTCTCAACAGAAGGTTTACCAATATACTAATACTAATATATTATAAATAAGAAGTGGCTACGTCCCACGTATCACAGAATTAACATAAGCCACTTTGGCCGCTAATTAGGTCCCTGATATTAACTTCTAATAGATAGAATCATTATAATTTATTAGCACCAATTACCTATATAAATAACAATATTAAAATATTGAATCTGACAAACCAAGTTTCTAACTCTTATAAGAGTAAGTTGTGTACTTGTGCTCTAAAGATATGAAACAAGAAATCAGGATGAATCACCTGTTCCCTTCTTTTCAATTCAGACTCTCTAGCTTGAAGTTCCTTCTCCTTTGTTTTGACGTCCTAAAGTTAAAAAGGACATAATTAAATTTTTGGTCAACAAGAACACTGCAACAGATCGTTTTGATATTCATTTCAACATTTTCATAAGCCAGTCTACCTTTGAGCTATCAATAGGAATGTCAATAGTTGCCCCACGATCATAAGGCTCAGGAGAAAGCGGTGAGAGCCTTGAGTTTGAAGAGGGAACACTTCCAGGATTCTGCAAATTTAAACAAATATGTAGTAAGTTAATAAACAAAAAGGCCTGTTTTGTATTTTTCTTTTACGTTTTATGTTTAAAAAGAAACAGAGAAGTTTTAGAAAATGAGCCCCAAAAGAAAAGAGGGGAGAGGGGAAGATATCAAATCAGCATAGTTACTGATTGCTCCCTCATATTTTTACAATACTAGCTCCAGTTATTCAGTTTCCTGTTGACAAATCATTAGAAAAGAGCATGATATAAAAATACAAGCAAGTAATCACACCAGCATGCAAAAAATTGCATCAATCTACATAAAGTAACCTCCCCAAGTCAATCATCTGCCAAAGGGAAAGGAAAAAAAGTTGAAAAACCACCATATGATCATTAACTTAATAGCAGTGCACTACCACAAAATGGTTTCTGAACTTCATGACAACAAAAAACACGATAACAACATAGTAGCAAGTCAGTCCAAAATTTCCTGACTGTCTTCAAAGCCCCAACCTGATAGTCTCTCATAACCTGATAGAACATCCATCCCTTGTTAAAAACCCATCCTTACTTTTACAACCTGCCTCCATAAATTATAATTTTCATGGGAATAAGTGAATAACTCCATGACCATTCACCATGAAGTTTTCTGTTAAGATCTCAAAGGTTTCACAATCCTAGTTTCCCCCACTTGAATGGGAAAGATGTATTAATAGCTAACCAAGTGAAACTGAATATTACCCTCTCTGCAGGAAATCCCTTCCTATCTTCATGTCAAAAATCTACATAATAACATTGCATTGCCATCCATACATAATCTATAACCAATCCCACAGAAATTACTCCAAATATTTTGTTGAGCATGACCTGTAAATTAACGGTTATTATATACCACTCCCACTCCAGTATGAGAAAACATTAATTCTTGACAACTTTGTCACAATTGTAGCAGACTATGATATCATCTCATCATTAACATTATAGTCCAATAATGACCATCACCAACATGAAGCAAATATTTCCATCACATAGGTCCTCATTTCATTCAAAAAAAGGAGAAAAAGAAAACATAGAGAGAGAAAGAGAATTATCAAGATCTCCAATGCACCAATAATACCACAGGCCCCTAGGTGTCTATCTAAAAATCCATAAGTAGGCTGCCACAACTTACCCCATTAATAATTTATTCACTACTACATGAATCACCCTCCAAGGGAAACTTATCTCTAACTGAGCTGTTTTAGAACATTATTGCTGAATTATTGTGGTTCCAAAATCAGTTTGACCCACTGCATGAGTGAAAAAAGAAAGAGCCCATTCTAAACTTTTTTTTTCAATAATCAATCAACTTCAGTAATTCATCAACAAAATCAATAATTTCCAACTTGCTTCACTATATAAAAACTAAAACCTCTCTCAGACGATTCGCTCAAAGCCTTTTCATCCAGTGCAACCTTACCAAATGTACCAAGCTACCAATCGGTCCCTCCCAACCTATCAAGTATACATATATCTCTAGATTAATTTCAAAAGGGAAAATCTTACAAGGATTAAATAATTCAGATTCTAGATAGTAAAACCTGTTATGGTCAATGCCAGAGAACTGTAGCACAATCAAAATACAGAGAATACATATCAAAAAGCCAAAACATACTGTTACTTCCTTTGTTTGTCAAAATATGATTGTATAAAATGTTGTAAACATAACGGTTTCAGTTAGAGTAAAGTGGAACTTACAGTAGTATAAAATGCACCTCCACCATAACTTGGTTGCCCTGATCCTTTCCCTTTACCTGCTCCAACCTAATATTGTTAATGAAAAAGCTTAATGTATTAGTTCTTCAAATAATTATAAAATAAGAAAGCAAGACTAAAAGAATTCAGCATATTTGAGGTGGCATATCTGCAATTTCATATCATCAAAGGCAACTTTCATGGCTTAATACATTATCAATTGTCATATAATAATCATCAAACCAATGTGAAAGAATATAAAGATTAAGGGAAAAATATTTCTGCAGTTACTGCAGATAAGTTATCTGCATTTATTCCCAAAACGACGTCGTTTTGGTATTGAAATCTTAAAAAATTATAAATATAAAGACTATTATAACCCTGAAATAAATTAAAATTACAAAAGCACCATGATTTCCGCCCCAAAACGACGTCGTATTGGACTTATTGCAGATAACTTATCTGCAGTAACTGCAGAAAAAGCGAACCAAAGATTAATTAGAAACAAAAGAACTCTCTGTGAAATGTCAATCTCTATTAATTCATTGAGGAACCCCCTGCCCTCTAAAGGAAACAATTGATTGAGAAAACTTGATGCTATTTCATACCTAATAATGGTATATTTCCTCCCAAAAGAGGAAAATCAGATCCCTTTGCATCTGCTCAGCAACACAACACATGGATTTTTCAATATCTTACATATTAAAATTTCCTTGTTAGCTTTCACAGTTTCAAATTTTTAGGTGTATCAATTTTAGATATTGTTGTCGAAGGTCAGTCAATGAAGAAATTATGAACTTCTGTATTCAAACTTCTGTATTTGTTCATTACTTATCAATGGTGGATTACAATAGATCTGGCACGCCAAATCAAACTTCTGTATTCAAAATTTTGCTATTTCATTTGGCTTAAGTGGCTTCCCAGTTCCCGTTCTTCCTGCAGATTAAAATATTTGAGGCCCATTTAAAACAATCTTAAACACACACAAACACAGAAAAAGAGTTAGCTTTTATTGTTGAATTGAAAACATGCTGCACAAGCAGCACTCCATCAGAAAAGGGAGCTTGTAATGTTTTAGTTTAGCCATTGTGGATATGATGAGATTTACATATCCAATGGTTTTTCATTTCTTTTGAGTGTGGGAAAGGAGGGAGGGTGATACTCAGAGTATGTAGTATAATTTTTTTAGCTTGAATTTTCTTTCTATATAGATGTGGCTACTGGCTAGATATATTTGGTTTTCTTCTTCTGTTTTATTTATTTATTTATTCATTTCTCCGCCAGTTCATTAGAAACTCGACTAATCCGGTTTGAGCTCTGTCGAACCTATATAGCAGTGGCTCTCCAAGCAACTATTTGCTTCATTCCCGAGGCTCGAACCAAGGTTATTAGTATTTGGTTTTCTTCTATCCGTTGATGATGTACCATATAAATATATTTCAAGGTTGTATTTTATTTAGAAAATGTAACGGTGATATGAAGTTTAAATATAATACAATAGTTGCATTTTTAACATGGTGGAAGGAGAAAAATGATATAGTTCTTTTAAGTACACATGATATAGCAAATTTATTTATAAATTAACCACCTGAAAAATTTATCCCAATATCAGCCACTATTTGTGATGGTTCTTTGTCTCAAATGCGTAAATCAACTTCATGGCAATAATCTTGTTTGAGTAAATTATTCCACCCTTAAAAACAAGGAAGAATTCATTTTGTTCAGCCTTGTAATGCAAAATTCTAGTTTTACAAACATCCAAGTTAGTAAAAACATGAATGGATTCTCTCATGTCTTATTTTAAGATGATCATGTGATATGGAAAATCTCAGTCATTCATTCACCCAACCGTCACAGTTTGAATGAAGAAGTTCGTAGATGAGTAAATGAAAATTATTACTTAAATTTCTGACAGTTGTGATGCACCTGGGTGACTCGCTTGGATTGAGCTTTTTCATAATTTATTTCTTTATTTAGGGATTTTAATAATTATTAGTTATTTCCTTTTTGTAATTTAAGATTATGTTTGAGTGTGCGTTGATTGTGCGTTATCTCCTTTGATTGCGCATGATTATAGTTATTTACTTTTTTTGTTATTTTGTTTTTGCCTATTTAAGGCTTGGAGAACCCTATTGTTATTTGGTTAAAGAAAATTAAGAAAAGAGAAATAGTATTTTCTCACAATCCTTGTTTCATTCTTCTTTCTGTTTAGCCAATTGGTTACTGCTCCGGCATTATTTGGTATCAGAGCTCTGGTTGTCATTTAAATGGCTGAACAGAACAATGGCGGTCGAGGTCGAGGTCGTGGACGACGGGGTCGAGGCGACAACGGCGGTAGAGGGCGTGGTAACACCCTTTATGGCGACGGCGAACAACCACACATCGACGCGCGAGACGCCACAATGGTAGCAATGGCTACTACAATGGCAGAACAAAGTAGACGAATTCAGGAGCTCGAACAACGAATTGCCCAAACACAGTTGGACGAGTTAGATGAAGGAATGGAATCTGAAAGATCGTCTCATGAGGAGGAAAGGAGCGAAAACCCATTCTGGGACTGGAACCAGGAGCGACGAGGACGAAGTCAACCTGGAAATCAATCCTTTTTTGCCAATATTGGGGTGAAGATTGAGATCCCGGAATTCGAGGGCACCACTCATCCAGATGAGTTCATCGACTGGTTACACACCGTCGAAAGAGTCTTTGATATCAGAGACTTGACAGAAGACCAGAGGTCAAACTGGTCGCTATCAAATTGAGGAAGCATGCCTCAATTTGGTGGGAACATATTAAAAAGCAGCGAAACAAAGAAGGGAAGTCAAAGATCAGAAGTTGGGTTAAGATGAAGAAACTTTTACAACAAAAATTCTTACCCATTCGCTACCGGCAGGAGGCATTTATTGAGTACCATAATCTCAAGCAGCGAGACCTATCAGTTGAACAGTATACAACTGAGTTTGATCGTTTACGGATGCGCTATGATATTGCAGAGGAGGACGAACAACTGGTTGCTCGTTACCTAGGAGGACTGCGAACTGAGATCTCAGATGTTGTATACCTACAACAATATTGGTCATATGAGGACGTATGCCGACTAGCTTTGAAGGTAGAGGAGCAGTGTAAGAGAAGAGGAGGTACTTCAAAAATCCAACCCAGATTTTGTGACAAAGGACAGTTATCAAACTCGACAGCCAACACTAGTGCGGGGATGGAATCTTCTAACCCGAAACTAGTGAGCAAGGGGGGAGCGATCAATGGTGAAGCAAGCAAGACAAGGACTACGGCAAAGAGATGTTTCAAGTGTCAGGGTTTAGGACACTTCGCTGCTGATTGTCCAAACCGGCAGTATGTTACTCTTGCGGATACTCAAGCCCATGATATAGGCCCCACCTATGATGAGTATGAAGAACATGAGGTGGATGGAGGGTCTGAAGAATGTGAGATTATTTTCGGTGATTCAGGCGAAGCCTTGGTTGTCCGAAGGGTGTTGAATGTTGACATCATTAATGATGTCCGAAGGGTGTTGAATGTTGACATCATTAATGATGAGTCGTGGCTTCGACACAATATATTCCGCACCAAGTGCACCAGCGGCGGTAAGGTGTGTAATATGATCATTGATGGAGGGAGCTGCGAGAATGTAGTCTCTAATACCATGGTCGAGAAGCTAAGATTGAAAACAGAGGAACACCCACAACCATACAAGCTTGCTTGGCTGAAGAAAGGAAGTGAGGTGAAGGTGAACAAGAGGTGTCTCGTACAATTTTCTATCGGCAAAAGGTACACTGATGAGGTGTGGTGCGATGTGATTCCGATGGATGTGTGTCATATCTTGTTGGGGAGGCCATGGCAATTTGATAGGAAAACGAAGCACGATGGCTTCAAAAATACTTACACTTTCAAGAAGGACGGACTAACTATTACCTTGGGTCCATCTGAATTAAAGGGGGAGGCGAAGAACACTATGTTGTCTAGAGTAGGTTCCCAAGAGGAATCTACCAATGCCGTTGAGATATGTGCTTGTGTGGTGATAGAACAAAATTCTGGTGTTTCTGACATTCCTTTACAGGTTAAGCCATTGCTAGAGGACTTCATTGATGTGGTTCCTGAGGAGATGCCATTGGAATTGCCACCTATGATAGACATCCAGTATTGTATTGACCTTGTGCCAGGAGCTGTTATTTCCGACAAAGCTACATATAGGATGAGCACTGAGGAGCAAAAGGAGTTACATTCACAGGTTCATGATCATATTCAGAAGCAGAATGTGAAATATAAACAGCAAGCTGACAATCATAGAGATCAAGCCATTTTCAATGAAGGCGATATGGTATGGATCCACCTTAGGAAGGAACATTTTCTGGCTAGCAGGATTGTTAAACTACCTAGAGCTAATGGTCCCTTCAGGGTGCTCGGGAAGATCAATAACAATGCTTACAAGATTGAACTTCTTGGGGAATACAATATTTCTAGTACTTTCAATGTTGCTGACTTGTCTCCTTATCATGATGATGAAGAGGGCATAATGTGCGAGAATAACCATGAAGATCCGTTAAATTCAAGGACGAATATTCTTTTGGCAGGGGAGAATGATGCACCTGGGTGACTCGCTTGGATTGGGCTTTTTCATAATTTATTTCTTTATTTAAGGATTTTAATATTTATTAGTTATTTCCTTTTTGTTATTTAAGATTATGTTTGAGTGTGCGTTGATTGTAAGTTATCTCCTTTGATTACGCATGATTATAGTTATTTACTTTTTTTTGTTATTTTGTTTTTGCCTATTTAAGGCTTGGAGAATGGTTAAAGAAAATTAAGAAAAGAGAAATAGTGTTTTCTCACGATCCTTGTTTCGTTCTTCTTTCTGTTTAGCCAATTGGTTAATGCTCCGGCATTAAGTTGATTTGTGAAAAAATGGCTGAAATGTTCTACATGATATGATCGTATTAAAATAAGACATAAAAGGATTAGTTCCACGTTGAAACAGAAAAAGAAAAAGAAAAAAATAATCAGAGTAAGGGTTTTCTCAAAATCATGATTCTGGACAGGTCTAGTACCTAATCTTTAACAGGAGGCTGACGAACCTCAGATTTCCAGTCTAATTACCCTCATACGTCAAATTTCAGACACACTCCGCAACATTTAATCACATCCAAAAATTCCCCAATGCTATATGAAGTGTGTGAGATAATCCAGAAGCCACAGTAACCACCGCCTATACAGCTACACTACTATACGAGATTCAATTCACCAATGATCTCAAATACCACAAACAGATCTAACCATCCAATTACGCACTCGTAAACGGAAAGCATGGAATTCAACAAGATTAGACACGGAATCAAGTTAAACAGTTAGGGAACTCACCGCAAAGGGATTAACCTCTTCCTCTTCGAAGGGGTTAGGGTCGTAGCGACTCATGAGATCAGAAGAGCGATTGATGAAGGAGAGAATTAAGAAAGGCGTAGAATAATGAGGAGAGAAATGTTGTTGTTGCGGTTGCGGTTACGGTTGCTGCAAGTGCTGTTGTCTTTGGTGTGTTTGGTAGAGAAACAAATCGGACAGAGAGAGGGCCTCGGAATCTACGGCTTCTTCTCTTTCCGATTTTGTTTGTTTGTTTGTTTAGTGAGAAAACTGCTCAGAAACGGTGAGAAAATAGTCCAGTGAGAGTCAGACAGAGAGTCGAAACGGAACATTCTTCGTGCATCCTTTTATAACCAGCGCCTCCAACCTTTTAAGTTTTACCTTTTTTTAAATAAAAACAATAGTATTTGTTGAAAAAAAAAAAAAAAAACTTCATTTTCTTTCTTCGTGGTTTTGTGATTTATTATTTGAGTCCTTGTGATTTTAAATTTATCACTTAGATCCATTGTGCTTAAATAATTTATCATTTAATCCTCGGTGGTTTCAAACTTTTACTTAGACAACTTGTGGTTACAAAACTAAAAATTTTAAAAAATAAATGTTGTCTCTTTTTTGTTTTACATCCTCACCTAATACATTTAGAGTTTAAAAAATAAAATGAATTTTAAAAAAAAATTACTTATTTTTATCAAGAAAATAAATTCAATTCAAATCAAATATTACTTTTTATCTATTTTTTAACCTATGTCGTTATAAAATTATCTAAAGAAAGTAAACACTTAATTTTGGTAATACATATTTAATTTATCTTAAATAATAATTTTTTAATTTCAAAAATATTTAAAAAAAGATAATTTATAAATTAATTTCAGAATAAACAACTTGAAATATTTTTTAAACCATAAATACATTACATGAGGATATAAAATAAAAAAGAGAAAAAATTTATTTTCAAAAGTTAATTTTAAAATTTTTTTTTTTTAAACCAAAGTAAATTTTTTTGTAATCACAAAGGGTCTAAGTGAAAATTTGAAGTCATAAGGAGTTAAATGACAAAATATCTCAGCACATTGAGTCTAACTGATAAGTTTAAAATCACAAGGGGTTAAATGACAAAATATCCCAGCACAGTGGGTCTAACTGATAAGTTTAAAATCTAGGTCAAATGATAAATCACAAAATAAATAAAGTTTTCTAAAAAAACATAAAATTATGTTATTTTAATCAAATTTATTATAATGAGAGAAACAATTACTCAATAGTTTATGGTACGAGAAAATAATTTTTTTTAATTTAAGTATTAACTAAAATAAGTAATTTATTTAATCCTTGGATTATCTCACACACTTCATATAGCATTGGGGAAAAATTTAGTTAAAATAAATATTTTTCGAAAAAAATGTATGAAGTTGGAAACAAAAAAGATATAAATTTAGTCAAATTGATTAAGATGGATAAAAGTTTAAATAATAATAATGACCTTTCAATTTATTTAAAAATAAAAATCAATTCTTTAATTCTTTGTTGAAAATTTTTAAACACGATTCTGGTTCTTCTTCTTCTAATGTTTAGGTTTTTAATATTCATTGACCTACGCATTAGTTTTTATAGTTTTCATTCATTTAAACTTCAATTTTATATTTTTATTTAGGCAAATATTACTCTCACATTACATGAGCTCATTTGTTATAGAAGTCAAGTGGGGTCCACCAATTTAAAACAAAAAAGAAAAAGAAAAAAATAAATTTATGACTTTCGAAGTGAGATATCTCATATAAAATTAGAGTAGTATTTTCTTTTTATTTATTAAGGTATCAGTCCTTACTTTTTATAAGAGATCGGTCCATATAATTTTTATTTATTAAAGTATTGATCTCTAAAAAATGAAAACCTAAATAAATAAATAAAAATATAGGAGTCGATATAAAAAAAATAATTATATGTGTTAAAACACAAATAAGTAAAATTATAGAAAAAAAATCTTCTTTTAGTTTTAAAAAATGTGACACACAACAAGTTTTTGTTAAAAAAAAAAAAAAAAACTTGTGTCTTTCTCTAATGAATTTCAAATCCCTTGTAGTTCTCCCCTGAAATTTGTTTAAAAAAAAGATTAACTATAATTTTGCCTTATATCTTCTTCAATTAGCCACCCCAAAGAAAAGAAAACGCGTGCCAAACCATCTGAAAGGTCATCATATACAAATATTCAATTATTTTCTTAGTGAGTTGGGTTTCTTTTTCCAGTGAATAGGGACCTGTCAATTTCGATTTAGCATGAAACGTCACGCAGCAAGCAGACATTCTTTGTCAGAAATGTTTCTTTATCTAACGCATTACACATTGCATAAACCGTCAGCCAAATTCGTTTTGATGGTGAAATCTACAGGTACTGCTTATCAGTTCATATTTTAATTCAATTAATTTTAATAGAGTTGTTGTTAAAATAATTGACAAATATTGTTAAAAAAATATTTATGTTTAAAGATATCTTAAGAATATAATTTAAACAATTGATTTAAATTTTATTATAATAACACGTTTGATTTATAATTTGAAACATTACAAGTTATGATTCAGAAAAAATCTTTTTTTTTTAACTTTTGTCTAAGAAATATTTAACTTTTTTGGTAAAAAAAAATATTTAACTTATTTGGGAATGATTTTGACCCTTGAATTGATTTTTTCCTGAAAAAATAAAAGTTAAAAGAAATAATTAATCTATATAATTTTACTCGACCTGAATTTTAGTTCATCTGTTTTATCCTAGGAAAAAGTGTTTGTCCTTTTAAATGACACAACTTACATCATTTCACTCTCACAAAGAAGTGAGACCCACACCTTTATATTTTTTTGTTCACTCTCTCTCCTCCTTTATCTATCTCTTTCTCTCACTTAAAATGACACAACTTTACATCCTTTAAAATGATAGACACTTTTTCCTTTATTTTAATATCAATACCCCGTAGCATTACTTATTTAAATTTTGATAATACTTCAATAGTTTGAAACTAAAGGATAATTTTTTCATCAAAAATAAAGACCAGTACCATAAAAAATAAAAATATATAACAAAAAATCTAAATGAATGAAAAATATTGAAACAAATATCCAAAAATATATATGGACCGAAATCCAAATCTTATAAAGACCAATAACATAATAACTAAATACGACCAAAGATCAAACGGGCACCAAACAAGAAAACAAGATTTCTTTTATTTTTTATTTTCTTGTCGTTTACAAAGAACAATATCAATTTACAAAAAAAAAAAAAGAACAATATCAGTGTTAAATTACAATGCTTGTCTATGATTTGGTACAAATGATTATCATACATTCATTATCAAGGAGAACATAACTGACGGACAACAGAATTACATTTTCATTACAAAGAATTTGGAAACAAATGGGTTAGTTACTCTGCAACACTAACATGGCATGGTTTAATGAACTATGAAATTATCAGATAAAGTAAGACTACACACATGCAAGGAGTGTTGGTCACTACAATTCTCTGAAGCTGATTGGACAAAACTCCTGGCAGAACTTAGCATATGTGAATGTTGAATAGGTTAGGATGAAGTAATGAAGCATGGAAACAACTAACTGGGCCCTTGTATATTATATGATATCTCTACTAGTTGATATTCAGCAGGAAAAATCTTTGCACATTTATTCATGAACAAAATCACAACCATTCTCAATTTTCATTTGATTCACTTTGCTAAGACTCCCTCCTTATCATATTTAGTAAGTATTGGACCACCTCTGACATTGCTGGCCTAAATTCTGCGTCAGACTGCATTAGATACATTTAAGGCAAGAGATTAATTAATTCCATAAGTTGGGAGATAAATGAGCTAACAATAATAATAATAACTGAGATTTTAAGTTCAGTCACCTGAAGGCATCGAGAAATAATGTCTGCAAAATTTGACAATGATTTAGCAGGGTAATCTCCAATTAAAGAAGGATCAACCATGCTTGATAATGCATCAATATCATGAAGTTGGGGAATTGCCCATCTGGCTAGGAATTGTTCTCCTCGCGGACGTGTCCTGTCCAAGATGTTCCAAATAATGAATCAAATGCTTAAAAAGCCCAAAGAGATGCTAAAGTATGATGTTTTGTAGAGAACCAATTTAATCCAAAAGTTTCAGCTATTAGGTGAAGGCACGTTAATGGTTTTTATATTTTGTATCTTATTTCTCTAACATGTTTATGCATTCTTACCTGTCATGGGGCTGACGACCAGTCAAAAGTTCTAACATAATTACTCCAAAGCTGTAAACATCACTTTGGTGAGTGTAAATTCCTGACTCCATTTCTGGAGCTCCATGGCCGTAAGTTGTTAGCAGGTGCCCCGAGAGCTGACAATGTATGGAATATTATCAGACTGTTAATGCAAATTACATTGACATACCTATTTAATGATATGCTATTTAACATTAAATTAAATCATGCTACAATATGATGAGATACATCAAACCCATAAAAATTATACTATTTTCCTCATAATGTTGAAACTTGGAACAAACTTTTACAATATGGAATAATGTCTTACCTGACTTACAGATCCCGAAACTATTAATGAGGCTAAACCACAATCAGATACACGCGCGGATAGATCCTTGTCAAGGAGAATATTGGCAGACTTCAAATTTCTATGTACCACAGGTGGCTGACATTTCTCATGCAAATATCTTGTGAAATGACAAGAAGCATTAGATTCAGAATCTCAAATCTTGTGTGCTTAAATATTTTAAAGCAGAGAAAAAATTTCCCACCCCTTAATTTTCAATTACATTTTTGCATAAGCTTAATTTAATTGTCTGGAAAATCGTATAGTTCTCTCTAAAGAGATTAGACAAGAGATTTGTTATTGTTAGAGATAAAAACCATTGTTTGGTAAGCACCCAATAGCTTATACTTTTGGGATGAATAGGTTAATGGTGTTTAATTATTTATAACCTCTTTCATAGAGAGAATAGAGCAAAATGTGATTTGAACTATAACTACAAGATCCATATCAAGAAGCATTATGGGTAAGTATGATGTTTTACCAATTTAAACTTTAGAAAGTTCTAATAAGGTTAGAATATAGTCACCATATTAATGACCCAGTTTTTAGCAAAATGCTTTCAGCATTAAATGAATTCACAGAGTAAAATTAAAAACTTTAGACCGGACCAACTATAATTTTAAAATGAAAACTTCAAAGCCATAATAAGCTACAAGTTAACAAGCTTGAGCAATTTTTTTCATATCCATAATGATTACTTGACTTACTCTAAGGCTTTAGCAGCACCGAGAGCTATCAGAATGCGAGTATTCCACGTGAGTTTTGTTTTGAATTCCTCATCTGAGTGGAGTGCATCATGCAGTGACCCGTTACTGCAGTACTGATAGATCAGAAGCCTCTCACCATGCTCTGAACAGTATCCAACAAGCTCAACAATATTTACATGTCGCATTTTGTCGATATCATTTACCAATTCAAGAAACTCATCATCCTTCTGGTGATCAGAAGCTTTCTTTTCCAGTTTCTTGACAGCAAGCAGCTAACAATTCATAAAGAAAGAACAAGTATCAAAACATGAACCCAATCAAGGCACAACGCATTAACACTAACGATGTTTTAGCAAGTGAAAGAGAAGCAGAAACATCTGAATTAAGATGTAATTCACAGAGATTGGTTGTTAAACCTGTGATTAGATCAACACATGCATTTAGCCATTTACCATGCCATTCAAGAAATGCCTTGGCAAAATATGAAAATCAGAAGAGGTAAAGGCCAGAATTATTAAATAAACAATGTTTGAATATTTTTGAAGTCGTTCAAGAATCATAGAATTAGCAGACACCTAAGCAATCAAGTTGGCAAAAAGAAGAGGGAGTCATGGATGCATATACTTCAAACACATCCCCAGGGAAAAGACATGTATAAGACCCAGAAAAAAGAAAATAAAATAAAAAAACCAGTTCAACTAGGTAAAATAAACAGTATTGTTGTAAATATTAGGTCTTTTATTATTATTAGTATTTGTTGTATTGGGCCAAGCCCATTAGGTCCTTTTTCAAGTTGGTATCAGAGCTCTCGATCCAGAGGGCTCTGCTTCCGCGCCTACGAAACCTTTCTATTCTTTTTCACGTCTCTCGCTGCCATCAGCCGCCACCGGAAATTTTTTCCGGGGACCTCTTGGACCGAGAAGACCATTGCTTCACTGTTCCTCTTTCTTTTTCTTGTCTATTACACAACCAGAAACAAACGTTCACAGAATCAACGTACAGAACCACCGTACAGAACCTGTTCATCGCGATTGTAACCTTTTTCCGGTGGATTCTTCACTCCGAACAGCCACAGAAACCATCGCGCTCGCCGGACGACCTTCGCCTGAAAAACCCAGCACCATCGGAGGTCAGACGCGCCTCCACGCGCCGCCCTTGTCTCTGCGCGTGAATCCCACGCGCCGCCAGCTTCACCGGCGCGTGACAGCGCGTGACGGTGGTTCTCGGCCGCGGACCACCACGGTTCTGATCGTCTCTCCAAGCCGGTTCTGGATCTGTGCTCTCTACTTTGATCGGACATCGTTTGGTATTTTTTTCAGAATTTCTTGGCTTCTTGGAGTTTGTTCTTTCACCAATTTCTTGCCTCCGACCAGATCTGACGTTGTTTGGTATTTGTTCCGGTATGTGGTCACTGTGTTACTGTTTCGGCCGCTGTGTTACTGTTCCGGTCAGATCTGACGTTGTTTAGTATTTGTTTGTGATTTTGTGGCTTCTTGGAGCTTTTCTTTGACCATTTGCTGTGCAGTATGGCCTCTTCTCAAAGGAGTTCTTTTTCAAAATTTTATGATGGTACCTCTTCTAGACCTAAGAGAAATGATCGATGGTGTTCTTATTGTAAAAGAACAGGTCATATCAAGGATTTATGCTTTCGCCTTTATGGAAAGCAAACTCTTAGAAAAGATGGCAAGGATGCGTGGTCAAGCGCATTTTACTTCTTCTGAAATAACCCCTGCACCTAATGAGACCCAATCTGCATTTCGTCCAGATGAGTTGGAACGACTCCGAACCATTCTTGATTATCTGAGTAAGCCATCTGATACTAGTGCTTTGGCTATGACTGGTATGAGCTCCAAAACTCATTCTTTCATTTCTTCATGTAATGATTTTAAACATTCTTGGGTTGTTGATTCTGGTGCTACTGATCATATGGCTTGTTGTGCTGACTCCTTTATTTCTTATCATCCTACCATTGGAACTCATACAATATCCATAGCTGATGGCTCACATACATCAGTTGCGGGTTCTGGTGACATAAACTTACAGCAGTCCTTACATCTTAAGGATGTTCTTCATGTTCCTAAACTCTCCACGAATCTTCTTTCTATTCACAAAATTACAAAAGATTTGAATTGTACTGTAACCTTCTTCCCTACCCATTGTGTTTTTCATCTCGCCACAGGGAAGACGATTGGTAGTGCTAAAGAGCAAGGTGGGCTGTACTATCTGGTGTCACAATCTCCCGCAAATAAAGTAATAGATCACACATTCATGTCTCATGGTCAATCAACTGCTGATTCTTTAATTTGGCTGCATCATAAGCGTTTAGGTCATCCTCCATTTAGTTTACTCAAATCTTTATTCCCGTCATTGTTTTTGTCTAAGTCTGTTGAGTCTTTTCATTGTGATGTTTGTGAATTTGCTAAGCATCATCGTGTGTCTTTTCCTTCTAGTATTACTAAGAGTGTTGAACCTTTTGATCTTATTCATTCTGATGTTTGGGGTCCTTCTAAGGTCCCTCATTCTTCTGGAAATAAATGGTTTGTTTCTTTTATTGATGATTACACTCGTGTCACTTGGGTTTACTTAATGCGTGAAAAGTCTGAGGTACCACAACTGTTCTTTCAATTTTATAAAATGATTGAGACTCAATTTTGTAAAAATATCAAAAGACTAAGGACAGATAATGGTACTGAATATGTCAATCACTCTTTTTCCCAATTTATACAAAATCAAGGTATGATTCATGAACTTACTTGTGTAGACACCCCTCAACAAAATGGGGTTGCTGAAAGGAAAAATCGTCACCTTCTTGAAGTTGCTCGTGCCTTACTGTTTCAAACACATGTACCCAAATGCTATTGGGGAGATGCCATTCTTACTGCAGCGTTCTTGATCAATCGTCTACCCACTCGGGTTCTCGATCATGTAAGTCCTATTCACTCCATGACTTCTTTTTTTCCTTCTGTTCCAACTTTGCAAAGTCTTCCTCCTCGAGTGTTTGGGTGTGTTGTCTTTGTTCATATTCATAAACAGCATCGCAGTAAGTTGGATCCTAGGGCTCTTAAATGTGTCTTCCTTGGTTATGCTCCTGATAAGAAGGGCTACAAGTGCTATCACCCTGGAAGTCGGAAATTTTTTGTTTCTATGGATGTTACATTTCAGGAATCTGAGTCCTTTTTCCAAGGTCCTCATCTTCAGGGGGAGAATAATTCACCAGAAGACTCATCACCTTCCTTCTTTGAATCTTCAGTGTCTACTTCTTCACCTGTGTCAGTGTCTCTTCCTCTTGTTCCTGTTCCTAATGTGTCTATGTCTGATCCTCCTGTGACTGATCCTCCTATGACTGATACATCAAATACACCAGAGATACGGAAGATTGTGACACCTGAATTGGTATATCAAAGAAGGAAACAGCCCACATTGCCTCAACAGCAACCTCAATCGTCTGAACCACTGGTAAGTCCTGAATCTCATATTTCTGATCATGATGTTAATACGTCTGATGACTTACCCATTACTACTGTTTCTGATGACTTACCCATTACTACTGCTTCAGATGATTTACCCATTGCTTTAAGAAAAGGAAAAAGATCTTGTTCCAAGAAAACTTGTTCTTCCTGTCCCTCTTGTACTCAATACCCTATCTCCCATTTTGTTTCCTCTGCTAATCTTTCTGTGCAGCACAAAAGCTTTGTTTCAGCACTAGATTCTACTTCAATCCCAAAATCAGTACATGAAGCTTTGAAAGATGGGAATTGGGCTCAAGCCATGCAAGAGGAGATGAATGCGTTGGAGAAAAATAAAACATGGGAGGTTATTGATAGACCCAACGGAAAGAAAGCAGTAGGGTGCAGATGGGTTTATGCCCTGAAATATAATTCTGATGGCACTCTTGAGAGATACAAGGCTCGATTAGTCGCCAAAGGTTACACTCAAACCTATGGCATTGATTATGAAGAAACCTTTGCTCCAGTTGCAAAGATGAATACAGTGAGAATCTTGTTGTCCCTTGCTGCCCATTACAATTGGGATATAAATCAATTTGATGTGAAAAATGCTTTCCTCAATGGTGAGTTAGAAGAAGAAGTCTACATGGAAATCCCGCCTGGTTTTGATTCTGTGAAGGGGGAAAATAAAGTTTGTCGATTAAAAAAGGCCTTGTATGGATTGAAACAGTCACCTCGTGCTTGGTTTGGAAGGTTTACTAAGGTTATGATGACCTTAGGATATAGACAGAGTCAAGGAGATCACACTCTTTTCTTCAAGCACTCCCAAAATGGGAAGCTTACTGTGCTCCTTGTATATGTTGATGATATTATTATCACAGGTGATGATTTTGTGGAGAGACAGATTCTGCAGACACGACTTGCCTCTGAGTTCGAAGTCAAAGACCTTGGGAAACTAAGATATTTCCTAGGGATAGAAGTAGCTCATTCAAGCAAAGGAATTTTTATCAGTCAGAGGAAATATGTTTTGGATCTTCTCAAAGAAGCAGGGAAGCTCGGGTGTAAACCCTCTAATACTCCTATTGAGCAGAATCACAAGATAGGCTTTGAAGAGGAGAGTCCTCCAGTTGATAAAGGACAATATCAACGGCTAGTTGGAAAATTGATATATCTGGCCCATACTAGGCCAGACCTAGCTTATGCTGTTAGTGTTGTCAGTCAGTTTATGCACGATCCAAAGGAGAAACACATGCAGGCAGTAGAGAGAATTCTTCAGTATCTTAAAGCTACTCCTGGTAAAGGATTGTTATTCCGACGTGATGGTAATCTCTCTTTAGAAGTCTACACTGATGCTGATTATGCTGGATCCGTGACTGACCGTCGTTCTACCACTGGTTATTGCATGTTTCTTTGCGGTAACTTGGTGACATGGAGAAGTAAGAAACAAGATGTGGTTGCCAGATCAAGTGCAGAAGCTGAATTTCGAGCTATGGCTCAAGGCATTTGTGAGTTACTGTGGCTGAAAATTGTACTTGATGATCTCAAAATAAAATGTGAGGGACCTATGAAGCTGCTATGTGATAATAAGTCCGCTATTTGTATAGCTCATAATCCAGTTCAACATGATCGGACTAAACATATTGAGGTCGACCGCCATTTCATCAAAGAGAAACTTGATAGCGGGTTGATTACCACTCCATACATTCCCACTGGGCGTCAATTAACTGATCTATTGACAAAGGGACTTCCTTCAGATAGATTTCAAGAACTTACTAGCAAGCTGGGAATGATAAATATCTATTCCTCAGCTTGAGGGGGAGTGTTGTAAATATTAGGTCTTTTATTATTATTAGTATTTGTTGTATTGGGCCAAGCCCATTAGGTCAAGAATTAGGGTTTTTGGTCTCTATAAATAGAGACCTCTTTATATCATATTATTTCACAATTCTAAAATATATCAGAATACCCTTTTTCAAGTAGTATCATGCAAGAACAACCCACAAACTGAATGAATATAAAATTTTCATGCTCTATACACTATATTTGACCTCACAGACTAGAAATGTTGAAACAGGAATATATAAGATGACAAAATGAATATCATCTGTCCAGCTAAAAGAACAGTAGAAAGATTAAAAAAAAACAAAGGAGACGAAGTATCGATCGCATTAATGTAAACATTAATGGCTATCTAAGGTGGATTAAAGTCCAAAGACAGGTCATAACAATAAAGAGATGCGGGGGGAAAAACAGCATATGCAACTTGTTTAATCAGTACACACTATATTAATCAATGCAATTGATAAGAAATAATCCTACCTTCCCATTAGGAAGCTCTGCCCTATACACCCTGCCCAGCATGCCTCCTCCTATAAGATTTTCTTGAGAAAAGCTATTTGTATACTGTTGAAGGGATGCAATGGTGAAAGATTTTGCCAGAGTGGAAGGAGGAACTGAACTTTTTACAGATGGATTGGCATTAGTCCCTTTGCGGAACATGGTTGGCTCAACAATCACCCTCTTAGTAGGAGGAGGAGGTGGGGGTGGAGGAGGGGGAGGGGGAGGGGGAGGTGGGGGTGGGGGTGGAGGTGGAGGAGGTGGGGGTGGAGCAGGCGGCATTGAATATACTTCTAGTGTACTCATATCTATCCTATGATCTTTCGGCTTTGGTACTGTTGCAATTCTTTGCACATCCTTCTTTTGCTCATCCTGTGGATTTGGAGTAACCCCCACTTTCCTGGTCTCTGCTTGACGATTCTCTTTTGGCCTCAGAACATCCTCTACTGGTGGTACTGTTAAGATGAATTTAAAAAGTTAGGTGATTGTGAATCCTTCCAGTGTATAATTAAATGTTAAGATTATAAATTAGATGAAGGACCAAAAGGTATATTTATTTACCTTTCTCAGTTTGACTAGGTGTTTGGACTAAAGCACCATAATCCCTAGCATTCTGTCTTTCTCCTCCATATGCACCAATTTGATGTCGTTTGGACCTTCTGTCATCACGTTCCCTTCTAATACATCCTGGAATAAAGAGAATGAGTCCTAGGATCAAAATAACGGATCCCAATACACTAGCAATAGATATCCAAACCACCCTCTTGGTGGTTTTTTTCGATTTCCCAGAATTTGATTCCTTTGCTCCGGTTGGTCCATCAGCCTGTTTAGTGGGTACATGACCAGAAGATGGTGCCCCAGAAACCACTGTTCCTGGTGGTGCCCCAGAAACCACTGTTCCTGGTGGTGCCCCAGAAACCGGTGTTCCTGATGGTGCCCCAGAAACCACTGTTCCTGGTGGTGCCCCAGAAACTGGTGCTGTCACTGGAGGGCCAGGTGCAGGACTAGGAATTGAAGTAGCATTAATATTAAATGGGTTTCCAGCTTGTCTGCATAATAAACATCGCCTTTAGTAACTGAAGCTTACCCAATTACAACAATATTATTCATATTCAAATTCAAATTTCTGATGTGACCGAAATCAATAAATAACTCGGAATTAAGGAAACTTTGAACAAGGAACAAACACTTGAGTTCTCTCAATAGTCACAAAATATACCAAGTAAGCTAGGAGATAGCCACATAAAATAAACTAAAACTACACTTTAAGTCCTGCTATTGCCAACATGACAATAGTATGGTGACCACTTTTTTAAATGTAGCTCACCATTACCATTCCCCTTCTATTGTTAAGTATTATTATCCTTCTTCAAATCCAATTTAATGTATAAAGTCCAAACCATGTGTGCATTTAACTGGCCAAGCACCATTGTACACCACACAAGCTAATTCCTCCATCACAAATTTTGAGACGTTCATTTGGGTGCAAAAGAAGTGTACCTTGTCAAATGCACAGTGACTATTACAAATTGGAAATTGTATGTAATGTTGACTCTTGGGACTTATCTTAAATCACACATTTTATTTTATTTTTTACTTTTTCTTGGTAATTTAACTGGAGGCAGCATCTAATTGGTTGTTTCCTAGAACTGCAATGCCTCTGAAATTCTGCAGAAAGCCCCAAGTCAAAGTATCATTGATTCTCTTTTGGCCTTATCTGCTCCTTTTTTTGCTTAATTGCAACACTGGACTTCTTTGAAATTAGCAGGATCAGATAAATTTTCAAGGAAACGTAGTCTAAAGTTCGAACCACCAAGTTCCATGTCCATCTTCACATTTTTTTAATTCATCAAATCATCCTTTTAAAGCATAAAAAGCAAAATAAGCAAAATACTTGAGTTTTTAAGGCTTGCACCTGAAGTTAGGGATGCTTAGCAACTTTGGAGGTATTGGGCCAGCAAACTGGTTGTTCTCAATATTCCTGCTCAAACAGGGCAGAATAAGCACAAATTTAACAGAGAATCAAGTAGTATCAAAATTAAAAATATAGCATCTAATCCCATTAAAATCTCTACAATCCATTATGAAAAAAAAAAATTATAAACAAATATATCAGCTATAATTTATGTGAAACGTGGTTAAGAGAAGTACAAATCTTTCAGAGGGAGGTCTTGTAAAACATCAAGTGTCCCAGACAGTTTATTATTCTGCAAGCGTCTGCCAACAAAAAAATAGTGAGTTTGCTTGATAAAGAAAATAGAAGTTCATACTTTTTATCTTAGTAAGACAAAATACTCACAAGGTGGTCAAAGATGACAAATTCTCTACAGATGGAGGCAATTTCCCGCTCAAACTATTATTAGATAAATCTCTGCACAAGAGTTAGTAGCTCTGTCAAATATGTTTAGTAATGAAGCAAAGAATCTTCATTCAAATTGTATCATTTAAAATGAGGCCATACAGATTGATCAATAGTGGAAGTGCCTGAAATGCATCTGGTATTTCTCCAGTTAAAAGATTGTTGTTAAGAGACCTGAAAGGAGATAATTCAATATAATTTAGATAAATTTTCATAAAATTTAACATCAGCTACCATACAAATTTAATATAAAATAGGAGAATCAACAAACTCACATGTCAGTCAGTCCAGTCAAAGTGGATAAAGAGGTTGGAATACTTCCAGTTAACTGGTTGGCTGAAAGAAATCTGCAAATACAAACCATCATGTCTTTTTGCACAATTTGTTGGGAAGAGCTAGTTTTACAGACATAGGTTATTACATACAAGTTTTTCAAGGTAACTGGCAAATTGGATGGAATACTTCCCCCAATGTTGTTGTTGCTGAGTTCACTGCCTCCGAAATACATAGCAAACAGTAAAGAAGATGCAGAAGAAACTTATGGGTACTGTGAGAAAAATGACCACTGAAATTCATGAACTGAAGAAAATGCAATAGATGCACAGACATACACTCAAGCATGCACATGCTCATGCTCATGCATGCATGCACACACAGAGACAAATGCAAAGAGAGAGAGAGAGAATTCTATTTACATTATTGAAATAGAAACAAACGTTGCCAGTTTATCACCAAGTTCTCCTCCCAAATTTGCACCATTAAGAACGCTGTCAAAAATAGGATGATAACAAAACTTACGGTAAACTATATATCAATCAATAATTCAATATGAAGAGTCAAGCCAAAGGGATAACAAAATAACATACATTTTTTGTATGAATGAACCATTACACTGAATGCCTTGCCACCCTTCACCGCACGGATCTCCCCCACTTGGAACCCACCCAGGCAGAACAGGGGATCCCCAAGCAGCATATAAGCTATTAATTGCAGCAACTGATACAATCAGAAAATTTTAGAACTTCTATAAACCACATATATGTATGACATAATCAATCAAGAATATGTTGAAATTTGTAATTTATAAATTTCCTGTTCTAGTTCACATCCAAACAATTCAGTAACCCTCCACATATCAATCAAGACAAAAGGCAGAATAATTAATGTATCACCACTACTAGCATTCAATAACAGACCAATAGACATGAAAAATAAGGCGAATGTTATAATATTAAACAAGGGACACTTGGACATATCGATTAACTGAAGACTGACAAAGTCCAGGAACACAAATTTTAGTACTTCAATTTTGCGAGGGAGTTTGGTCATCAACGGTCAACCCCAAAGCATCAATGTAGAAGACATGAAATCCAATTCGATTGACGGTAGATATAAGAGAAGCAGAAAGTCTTCAACCATCATCCACACACACACACACACACACACATAATATTAAAAAAAGAAGACCCAGAAGAATGCACCATTAGCTAAATAATATACTTTTTGTGACCAGAGAATCTGGAGCCATTTACTTGTGAGACTAAGCAAAATGCCAAAGGAGAAAAGAGGAAGGATTCTTACCATCAGAGGGATCAGTGACTGCACTTGAAATCTGAATTGTGCAGATCAACAAAAATCCCAATAGAACTTGTCCAACGATCTTCACTCTCTTGTACTCCAAAGCAGATCTCTTCCAACCCATTGAAATCTTCAGCACACTCTTCTCCGAGCAATCCAATCACAAAAGCATCCTCCCAACTGAAGAAGAACGAGGTCAACTGGTCAACACTCCTCAACTCAGCACCTGATCCTATCACCACCTCAAAACTCTGAAAATCCAACCCAACAAAAACCAAAAATATCCACACCCCACGACTCCACACACACAAAAATCTGCATAAACACAACCCAATATTAAAAAAAAAGGACACGTTGATTTCAAGCCTTAAGACACTATCATGAGGATAACTTCTGAAAAGAAAAGAGAAAAATGAGATGAACTCACTTGCAGACAAATTAAGTTGGGAAATGCTGAAGATTTGATTGAGATGAGAACCAAACACAAGTTACAATTGTTGGAGCCACCCAAGCAGAAGAAAAATAAAATAAAACGTGGCGTCTAAGATTCAAAAACAGTAGAAGAAGGGAAGGTAAGCACACATATTGCATTGCATCAATAAAGGAAATTTGGCAATATAATAATAATATGTAATTGAAACTTACGTCAAACCCTAACCTTTGTAAAAGAAGAAACTGTGAACAAGGAAAAAGGCAAGCCAAATTTGTAAAGGTACAGTGACAAAGGTTGTCTCTCTCTCTCTCTCTCTCTGTTTCTTAGCACTGTCTATCTGTAAACAAAGGAAAAAGAGGTGTCAAAGAGTGTGTGCTCAAGTCATAGATATCTACTTTGCAAAGTCTTTATATTATAGAATGCTGAATTTACCCTCTCCAAACGTTCTAGTTGGCGCGTGCACTTTCTCAGCTATGTTTCAGTTTGTTGCTTTCGCTTCAACTATTTTCAGTTATGTTCCTAATTATTCATGTGCCTTTGTGTTGGGGTCGTTGGAAATTATTCCAACCTTGAAGTAGACAAAGGAAAAAGATAATTTGATTCCAACCTTTTTTTTATCTGGTTTGGTGTGGTATGTCAGTTTTTTCACAAAATTAGCATATATTCTCACGCATTGAACAATAAATTGTCACACTTTTAGATACTTTCACAAATCACAATAACCAGGATCTTATAATAATTATTCTTTTTTATTATTTGAGTCTATATATATATATATATATATATATATATATATATATATATATATATATATATATATATATATATATATATATATATATATATATATATATATATATATATATATATATATATATATATATATATATATATATATATATATATATATATATATATATATATATATATATATATATATATATATATATATATATATATATATATATTCTCCTCTTCAAAGTATGGCTCGCAGGTCATAAAACGTGAAAAGAGTAATGCAACGTGACACAAACTTACAGGGTTATGAAGAATTGGAAATTAAAACATAAAAAAAAATTGATATATTAAAAGGAAATTAATGGATTGCAATCATATGCCACTTAAATAGAACTACCTGATATGCGGTTATTGATTGAATGATTAATTTTTTTTTATAAATCACTTACAATTTTTATTTTATCATAAAATAAATATTGAATCTTATTGATATGATATGTTACTTTTCTATAAAGTGTAGAGGATCTGGATTGGAAATTAATCCGTTATCCACCAAATTAATTCATTATTCTTCACTATATTGTTTATGCTTGACCAAATTATTGAAGTTCTATATATTTGAATATTTTTTAAGGGAAAAACAACGCACAAAAACAAACATAATGTTGTTTGCATCTAAAATAAATTTGAGCTCAGAAGGTTGATAGGCCATTGAATATAGTAATTAAGCATCATACATTGCATTCATTTAGCAAATCTAAGTCTGACTAAAATTAAAATATATCCAAATATCATTTACCAAAATAAAAATATTCACCTTTTAAAAGGAGAGAATTAAAATTTCTGAAGAATTAACCATGTATGGATAGTTGGGTACTTTTCTTTCTCAATTTCTCATTCTTTTTCATTTCAATTTTTTTATTATTATTATTGTGCAATAACGATTATTGTCTTCATGGTAAAGGAAAGTGTTATTCACCTTCTGCGGCTGCGCGTGATGCTGGCAGTTATTACAATATATAATTTGGCATTTTTCAGACATACAAACTGTAAACTTTTAATTATTATCCTTTGAATTTGCAAAAATATTAATACTTATTTTTATTATTAAATATTTATTACTTATAAAAACAATTATATAAATTGTTAAACATTCATAATAACACACAATCAATAAATGTTTAGTAATTTAGCATATATCTTTCACAGTTACTGTGTAAGTGCAGCCAGTTTCATCACTGGCTGTTTTGTCGGATGATTATTATCGGTTTCGCGTCAGCTAATTTAAAAGCCCACTGAATTCTATAAATATTCCCTTTTATAATTGGGTGAACACTGATTTTGATTCATACTTATTCTTTTTTCTGAATTGATATAAAAATAACTAATAATCCAGTAAAACAAGTCGTATAAGCCAAATCGTTTTCTCTTTCCACAACAATTGATTTTCCTGGAACAAAGATTGAATTTGAAAAAAATAGTGTTAAAGAAAAGCATAGAAAGTGACAGAAATCAAATCAAGATAATGTTATTGATTTTACATTGTGAAAAATTATCTAATAAATTTTACAAAAAAAAATAAAAAATTGATCTAAAGATAATTAAATACAAAATCGTTTATGTTTTATTCATATTGTTTGGTAGAATCACATAACTTTAATGCTGTATGATTTTTGTACATTTTTAATGTAAAAGAGTCACATAAAATATTTAAGCTTGGTATTTTCTTTTTTGAGCCTGATAGTTTTGTTTCAGTTGCGTCATAGTGAACGAACTTAAGGGGTGTTAATTAAAACTTAAAAGCTCTTCTACTAAAAAAAATTATCCTATTATTTTGTCGTTTGTAGTTTGTACTTGTCAAATAGTACATGCTCCTTTAGAATGTTTGAATTATTGGGCAACAAAAGGATAACTATTACCAGAGTTTCCACGTCATTATTTTGTGGGAATAATAATTTCCACCTTTGAATGAAAAAAAATAATAATAAAAGAGAGACTGAGGGAAGAGGAAGTCAATTTTATAGCTGTCAACGGGCAAAAGCAAACGTTATGTTATGAAAAGGGAGAAAACAACGGGGGAAAAAGTAGCTAAAAAGTAAAGAGGTTGGTTGGTGGTCCTAATCTCAATATCCGAACCAAGTTGTCTCTGGTCACGGAACTTGGAGTCTCTGTGATGTAATGAACATTCACCCCTATCCATAACCCCCAAGCTTATCACTTAATTACACTACTAGTCCACTTTATGAAAATGAAATATGAAGTTTTCGGTTCAAAGAATAGATCATCAATAAAAAATATATATAATTTCTCATGTTGTATTTATCTCACGGAGAAGGTTATATTTAAAAAAAATTTGTTTATAAATTCTTATAAACTATACTATATCTGATCGATCATATACTAATTAAGAATATATAACCTGTAATATTTAATATAATTTATAAAAAAAAATTGTAAAAGAATCTTTCCTCTTATCTCATATATACAAAACAAAGTACATGAAATTCATTAAAAAAAAGAAAAAATTATTAATAAATAGGTCTTATCTATTTTTTTATATATATAAAATAATTTTATCTTATTTATGAGAAATATATATCTATGAAAATAAGCATTGATTTAGTTGTCAGTAATAATTAACATTTCATTTCATTATATAAACTGGGTGCTGAATCAACTGGGGCTGCTTGTCAGACTTTATGATTTGTTCGAACCAACGACTCAGTGAACTGGCAACTTAATTACGTCAACTACCGATCTAAATTTTATGGAAATAGAACTTATTATATATTAGTTAATAATAACGTGATGATATAATGTGAAATGATCCTAATCATATAAGGATCAATTAATGATAATAATTTTATAATTTTTTATCTCAATATTTTTTCTCACTATTCTCTTATCATTATTAATTTTTTTTATATGATTATAATTTCTCCCCATAACATAACTTAGAAAGGGGATTTACTCACTTATTGTTGACCTATTGAAAATGGATCCTTTAGTGTGGAAAAAAAAATGAAATTGTCATGTGTAAAGATCACAATCATATAAAGGTAAATTAATGATTATGATTTCACACTTACTTATTTTAACATTTGTTTATCTCTTCTTTTATTACCATTGATCTATCTTTATATAATTACGATTTCTCACATAACATCATCATATAAATTTTCACATAAAAAAATTCAGATCGTAGCCTATTTGGTTTGGTTCTATCCTGAAGATCTTACAAATAAAGGAGAGTGTCAAATCTGTTTTGGAATTAGGCGTAGTACACTATTCAAACTGCAATACCTTTTGTATTGATAAAGATGCCTAGGGATCCATAATCTTCAATTGAAGAGTAGACCTACGCATTAATGGCTTGTTCGACGTATATATTGTATTTGTTAATGATTGGACAATACACATGTTCATCTACTTTATGTTAAAATTTAATTTGTTATTAAAAGAACAAAGACGATAAGGATGAACTTTAATTCACTTGCTTATAGATACTCAACACTATTTCACCCAAAAAGTTTATCAAATGAGAGCAAATCATAACAATGGGAAGAATACATTGGAAAATGGAGTTGGAAAACAAGATTTGTGGTCTCAAGAGACTACCAAAAAGCCTAATCTCATGAGCCAACACATAGTGGATGTTGGTAGCTATTCCCCCATTAAATTGATTTGTGAGGAATTGGACGATAAAGAACAAGTTTTGGAAACCGGTTCATATGATAATCTTGTGGAATCAAACTCATCCGATGCCGTTGTTTTATTGGTGGATGGAGCTATTAATACATTTCCTCAATGTCATGACGTTGAATTTAATTCATCATATTTTTCAAAGAAAAATAATAATCAAGAGGGGGTCAAATGATCAACTACATAAAAGAACTAAGAAGAAGATATATCAGCTTAAAGTGATCTCTCAATTAACTAAGAGAATCTATAGATCTCAACCCAAAAGCAACAATTACACTTCAAAATCTTCAACTCCAAAGCAGAAAAATAAAAAATAAAAAGTTGCGTAAGAATAGATCCTTTGAGCAAACAGTCGTTTTAGTTGAACATTCAACCCCTACCATTTTTGAAAATTTTCAATGCCTTGAATGTTGAATAAGGTGGATTTGAGAATTCAATATTTGAAGATGAAATAGGCATTGAATATAATTCACTACAAAGTTATGGGGGAATGGCATCTTTGTCATGTTTATGTTTGGTAAATAACATACACGAATTGGACCAAATTTCCTAAAAATGTGTAAGAAAAGTATTGGCAGACTAAGGTTCCCTTTAGAAAAACTCTCGATCTAT